TGTGAAGGGGTTCTCCTGAGTAAGGAAAGAGAACACGAAGGTACTAGAGAAAAAGGGCACAGACTGCATATGCAGCGATGCAACCGGTTTGTTAGATCCAGTAACAGTAACAGAGTAATTAATATTCGGAATCCATTGCCAAAGGAGTTAGTAGATTTAGGAATCGTGACCGCATTTAAGCTCACCCTGGATGAGCGTAGGCTGGAGCTCTTTCCAGAATAGGACTTTTATTATATTATGGAACGCCTTCATGATCCATGTCCCTTGTCCGTCGATGAGGTGAAAGGAGACGAACTTTTTCCTTTCCTTTTTCTGCAAGGACACCGTACTAAAGGCAATTTGCAGTGATGGATGCACTCTATTTCAGCATACTGTCAAAAGATATCTGCACGCTCAATTAACCGTGGCCATTATTGATGCTGTGCAACCTGACCTAACCTGACGTGACCTGACCAAAGGTGCGCCAAATATGACATCGAGCTTAACTTAGCGCAAATATTCAAAAAGAACCCGAAGAGCTTCTATGCGTACGTGCAAGCCAACGCACGCACACGGGAGAGTGTGGGAGCACTAGCTTTGCCCAATGGAAGCATAGCTACGTGTAACCGCAATAAAGCGGAAACCATACTTGACTTCTTCAAAAGCGTTTATAGGACTCTAGCCAACTTGGATAATCCGATTTTAGCAAGATCAACCGATACATCCGAGTTTGCCGATATTACCATCTATGAAACAGATGTACATCGAGAACTCCAGACGTTCAACAAGCACAACTCAGCAGGCCCGGATGGAATCCATCGAACCATAGTGCAGCCGCTGGCCTGGGTGCTAGCCGGGCCGCTAACTGTACTTTTTACCACAGTGTGATACATGAATGCCTATAGTATCAGTGGAAAGTGGGAAGAATTGGAAGCTTGCACCCGGGGTTCAGAAATGGTCAGTATCACTAAATCAGTTGAAAAAGCAGCAACCCGTAGCCAATTTAAACGGTATGTTAGCGGTACGTTAGCGCGCGGTTTGAAATTTTGAAGTGCTCTCGTTGAAAATACGTTTGGTACTATTTCCGTGGAATATCTTAAGATATTTCAAATTTCATTGACATGAAATCTGTCTAAGCATTTGTCAAGTGTATTTGCTGTGACCTCTTAGAAGGCCGCACTGCATATACAGTGGTAGTTTGCTCACCGTTTATTGTAACTGTAGTGCGTGAAAAAGCACGGTAAAGCTAACTATACAGTCCGTTTTACTACTTTACTTTTAAACGAACGCTTGATAGCAAAGTATCCAGCTTCAGGTATACCGTTTTTTAAAGATTTTTGCAAACTAGCCCTGTAAACCGTTTTTCAGTAATTACTGACGCTCTTTTCACGTTTTGTGTTATACAGTAAATTTGGTGTCTTATATTTATCAGTTCACCCGCATTGCGTATTTTCCGTTCAAAATATGCCACGTGTCAACTTCCCGTGTCTGAACGAAGTGTGCGGTAAAAAGGTGATAAGTGGTATAATGTGCGACGTATGCGAAAAATGGGCTCACCAAAAGTGTACAGGGGTCTCTGCAGACATCCACGCTTTGTACAGTAAACACAATGGACTTGAATGGGTGTGCAACGTTTGCAAAACGATCGCACGCCAGCATACAGCTCAAAGTGCTGTCCCCGGAAAGCCACCAAGACTGACGGAGACAAAACGAGTGGAAATTATGGAAGAAATGATTACAGAGGTGTCAGCAAACACTTGTGCTGAGATGGTGCAAAAATCACCTGGTGAACCTACTCCAGGAACACGTCAATTGCAACCAAATGCTAAGACTGTCAAATCTAAGCCGACGACAGCAAATCCGCGCATCGTCAAGGGCACCCAGGGTATTTCGGGTAACAGCCTGCTTCACATTGAGAGTGAACTGCACAAGTTGCGTGCTGAAGTAGCCTCGATCAAGCTGTTAGTGTAAATAAAACGTCTCGGTGCAACACGCTACTGGTCCTCGATAANTAAAAATACATACAGTAGGGGTTTGGAAGCAGCCAAACCCGAACGAATGGTCCGCGGCCCGACCGATACTAGTGGAATTCAGAGAGACTGGACAAAAGGACATGCTCTTGGCAAAAGCATCCCTTGTAAGTCGGCGCACAGAAGGGCGCTACGGAATGGCTCCGGACATCCCAAGGCCATATAGGAAAGCAGAGTTTAAGGGGTCCAAAGGAAGGCTTGGTAACCAGAGAACGCAGCCATCAACAAGCACTCCCTTCAGAAACGGAGTGTTGATCATAGAAGATATAACGGAAGAACAGGAATGGAAACTTGCTTGCCGAGCAAGTCGGTAAGTGTAGATGAAGAGAAAATTGATCAAATGTCCACTCCATTGCGGCGGGCGGCCATAGGAGCACCAACGGACTCCGAACTTAGAAGNGTCGCAGGACAATGGTCAACACTGACCCATCAAAAAACGGGGTCACAGCTCGGGTGCTGCGCCCGAGACAAAAGCAAGAGTAGGCGGCTTAGAATGCCCAATCCCGGAAAAGTTAGTTATGCTATGCGCTAATGCGTGCAGCATCCGGAATAAGTGGGCAGAGCTAGGAGTAACATCTGAGGAACTCAAAGCTGCAGTAACTGTTGTCTCTGAAACGTAGTTAATTGAAAGCAACCACATACCACAGACCATTGCAAACAGCTTTGAAATCCACAGACAGGATCGAGATGGACAAGTTCAAGGCGGAAAATTAGCGCTTCTCATTCGCAAAGAAACTCCCAACAGGAGATTAGACACAGATGTCTGCACTCCCAATATACAAATGGGGGCTATCTCACTCCTTTCTAGGACCTTTCTAGGACCACCATAGACGGTGTTTACAGAAGTCCGGGTGCCACCATGGAAGAAGATGAGCAACTAATCAGGGCGCTGGATGTACTAGCACATTCCCAGCAGAAACTGGTCATTGCTGGGGATTTCAACCTTCCCGGCATTCAGCGGACAACAGAGACCTGCTCGGAGAGTGCACTGATCCTATCTGCAGGATCTGTAGTGCACGTGTCAACTCTTACTGTGAAAGTCCTCCCCCTGAAAAAGTTTTTCACCCAGGTCCTGGCCCTCCCTGTAATGCCTACTGTTTGCATCTTGTGGTCCAAGTATCTGTGATTGACTTAGTCGAAAGCCTTACTGAAGTCCATGTAACAGACTTCCACAGTGAGGCCTTCACCGAGTCTTCTGGTCGCATCGTCTAGGAATAGCAGCAAATTAGTCAAACAGGACTTGCCTATCACAAATCCATGCTCCGCGGGTGTGATGATGTTGTGTACCACGAGATGCTCACATAATTGCGCCTCACGAATCGTTCTAGGCATTTGCGTAGGACGCATGTTAGGCTGACTGGCCTATTATTCGTGGGCTTTTGCCTGGGGCCACCCTTGTATATACCGATCACTGTTAACGTCTTCCATTCTCCAGGAAGGTTTCCCTCCCTGAGTGAGGCCGCTAAAGCAGCATCACCGGTAGAGCTAGGACTTCGGCCAGTGTTTGAACTACGGCCGGATGGATTCCATCTGGGCAGCAGCTTTGTATTTACACAAGGTATGTAGCTCTCCCTTAACACTTTCTTCGTTCACCCACAGCTAAAATAAACCCGGTGAGCTATAGTCTCACTGCCAGTTCGGGTCATCCTGGGTCTCGAGTGGTAGGCGATATATCCCTTTGTACGCTTCCAGGAGTGCCCTGGCCCTTTCCCGATCTGTCAGTGCCAGTTGGCCATCCAGACCTTCTAGTTCAGCCACAGTTTCCCTCGTTCTTTTTTTAGATTGTACGTAGGCATAGAATCCCTAATAATAATAATAATAATAATAGGTGTATATTTCACGAAGCCCGTGAGACATGCCCAGTGCATGATCAAATGCCATACACAGGTTCCAGAGACCCTTAACTACGGCAGATGTAACATCCATACGTCGAAGAAGGTCTCAGTCGGATTCACATGGCGATGCGGTGAAAGTTAGGGATATGCTGGAGAATCAGGGGAGGTTAGGATAGGGCTGAACGAAGGCGTCGTTCGTCGCATTTATTTTGTTCCAAAGATTATGTTGCACCGCGTCGCCCGGTTTAATGATGTTTTGTTAGCGGACGCCGTACCTCAGCTAAATTGTGCCGGGTACGTGCTTTGGCATGCTATGCTTGTAGACGACAGCGGTCTAGCTAGACGTTTCTTCTACACTATCTTGCCGGATGAGAGCGGTGAGAGCTATAAGTCTGCTGTGGGAGCCATTGAGCTATGTGGCCAGTCTTTGCACAATGCAAGACTATAGTAGTTGATCGTAGATTGGATCATTACAACGCGTTTTCAGAATACTCTCCGTCATCTAATGTGATATTTTGTCGTTTCCATCTTGTTAAGGATATGAATGAAAAAGGTAACCAGCTATCTGGTATACCAACGTGCGAAAAAAGCCCATCTTTCAATGGATGCGGAACATGGTGTACTGTGATAGTGAGGTATCGTGTCGTAGATTCCTAGACACCGTAGAAATTCGTAGCACTGAAGGTGTTTATTTACGTCGAACTTGGTTACCATACCGAGAGCAGTGGGCAGGGTATGCCGTGAGGACTAGGTTGACTTTAGGAAACCTAACTACAAACCGAGTGGAGACGGAAAATAGACACCTCAAGGCAGGCTTGTTTCCTCGGTCTTCATCATTGGATGTATTTAAGAAAGTGCAACAACGAGTAAGGTCACTGGAAGTGACACATGTAATTCGCCTTGCTAAAGATTCCGTGAGGGGTATCCGACACCCAGCGGTATGCAGTCGTTCCAACCGTTGCTTATACTAGTAATAACACTTGCGCGGAATATATTATTAAGTAACTGGAGGTCATGTGAGATTGAACGAATTGTTCACGAGAAAGGGTTCTTTATGGTGGTGGATAATAAGGGCAAGGGTTATAATGTAGTTACTGCAGGGGAAACGAAGTGTGAGTGTTACTTCTATGCGCAATGGTTGTTGCCCTGCTTGCATATAGCCAGGGTATTCGATCGGATTAATTGGGATATTCAAAGTCTTATTTCAGATAGGTGGATTATAAAGCGTAGCGAAAAGCAATCAGATCAGAACTTCAGTATGGTAATAGCGGCCACAAGAAACGTCATGGGTGAGACATGAAAGTTAGCTTAAGCAGAGGATGATCTTCGAAAGCTGGGCTTCGCTTTGAATAGTTTTGGTACAGTGAATTACAATTTTCAATGAAATCAACTTCTACGTGTAGCAGCTATGATAGGGGAGTACCCGGACATCCAGATATTATTTGATAGACAGAGCTTGGCAATACATACTAGGGATATTAAGCGTACCTGTCTTCCGTCTACGAGCGTCAAGGTGGGAAACAATAATCCACCAGTAGCTTCAACAAGCGGTTCGATTGAAAAGCGGAAATCAGTTTTAGTGAGTAGATCAGTCTACGGTGAGGACGACAAATTGGTCTTGGGTGACCCACTGCAGCATGCTCTGTTCCGAAGACTGACAGCAACGACGTCAGTGAAGTACAAACTGGACGCTAAATCCAGAACTCAAACAAGTCCGGCATCACTTATGAAGGCCAACTGTTGCAGTGTCAGCAAATCTGCGTGGAATACGGTCGATTTGGACGATGAGCAACAATGGATCCAGTGCCAGGAATACGAGCGCCGAACATACAGCTGTTGCGCTGCTTACTGTGGAGAGGAAGCATACGTTTGTGTGCATTACCTCAGTTGATGAGCGTGAACGTCAAAAGCCCGAAGTAACCAAAAACGGCTCTTTTAGAGCCATACCAATTTGATTTATTTGTCTTTGGGTTATTAATTTTGTTCAGGGTCCATCATATCGGTATAGATTCCAATTGAGATCGGATGTTGTGGGGGCAATACTTATTTCGTTTCCGAGCCAATTCCCAGGTGGAATGAACTCGTGGGTGGGAGAAAACAATTGGCGGATTAGTCAACGGGCACGTGGTTTGGAGAGCTTCATGCTATGCCCACGACGTTTATCCATAGTAATGCCGACGAAGTAATCACTGACCCCGTCGAGAAAACCAGTTAGTTTCAGAATAGTATTTAGAATAGCTCTTGACAGTTATATGGAAGGTGCAGTTCTTATTGATGAAGTTAAGCTCGTTTTAAAATTTCACTATGGGACACTTCGAAAGCTGACAAAAAGTTACTTTTATTTCGTATTCGTCGATGATCTTAGGCTGAAAGTTTTAGAATAGTATTTAGAATGGCTTTTGACAGTTATATGGAAGCTGCAATCCCTAAAGATTTCGTATTGGTAGATTTCCCTCCCGAGAGCCCGTTCATTTATATTAATGAAATATTTTATTTTTTGAAGTCAAATAATTTTCCCTTTAATTTTTTTGGTTGTCTGCTGCCTTATTGAACCCGGCTTTATATTTAGGGTCACTCATAAGCGAAATAATTTTTGAGCAACAGTGGTCTCCAGTTGGGATATTTTCGTATGGCTTGGAGAATGGGGATCGGTCAAATGACCTTGAACGTTTTGAATCAAGCCGCGTTGGGATGCTGCGCGCTTACCTACGATGTCCTGCGGAGAGCCGCATGTTCTGGTCCCGCTGTATTAGGCTATCGTCCGGCCACATCTGGAGTATTGTGTCCAGGTATGGGCACCATACTTACAGAAGGATCTAGATTGCTTGGACGCAGACGCATAAGGGGTGACTTAATTGAAACGTTCAAAATAATGAACGGTCTGTCGGGCATCAAAAGCGAGGAACTATTCTCTGCGATCC